CCCTGGTGTAGGTAATGTGTCATCCTTGAGGTGACACAAAAAGAAGACATGGTCCATGGTCTCTGCACTCAAGAGGTGCTCAGTCTAGTAAGGAAAACAAGCAAAGATAAAAATACAATACCATCTTACGAGCATTAAGAAAGATACTTGTTCTAGCCTGGCTAACATGATAAAACTCTACCAAAAACAAAAATTAGCTGGGCGTGGTGGTGCGTGACTGTAGTCCCAGCTACTTGGGAGGCTGAGGTGGGAGGACAGATTAAGCCCAGGAGGTCAAGGTTGGAATGAGCCGTGATTGTGCCACTGAACTGCACTCTACCCTGGGTGACAGTGTGATACCCTGTTTTGGGGGGGAAAAAAAAAGGAAAGGTACTTGAGTGGGAAATTGCCTCGATGCCATCATGGCCTCCAAGTTTAGCACCAGGCAAGCTATCTCAGAAGTTACCCAACAGACAGGTTTAGGACCAAATGAAGATGCTCCAATTACATGGTTATTAAGTTAAAAACAAAACCCAAAACACATAGTAAGAAATATTTTCCATTTCCCCACAAACATGCTCTGCTTTGGTCACATCCAGATACAGGAAGTTCTTTTTTTTTTTTGAGACGGAGTCTGGCTCAGTCGCCCAGGCTGGAGTGCAGTGGCGCGATCTCGGCTCACTGCAAGCTCCGCCTCCCGGGTTCACGCCATTCTCCTGCCTCAGCCTCCCAGGTAGCCGGGACTACAGGCGCCCGCCACCTCGCCCAGCTAATTTTTTGCAGGAAGTTCTTATAATACAGTTTGTGTGTGTGCATTTTTTTTTTTTTTTTTTTAAACAGAGTCTTGCTCTGTTGCCCAGGTTAGAGTGCAGTGGCATGATCTTGGCTTACTGCAACCTCCGCCTCCCAGGTTCAAACGATTCTCCTGCCTCAGCCTCCCAATTAGCCGGGATTATAGGCATGCCAATTTTGTATTTTTAGTACAGACGGGGTTTCACCATGTCGGCCAGGCCAGTCTTGAACTCCTGACCTCAGGTGATCCACCTGCCTCAGCCTCCCAAAGTGCTGGGGTTACAGGCGTGAGTCACTGTGCCCAGCCAGAACAGTCTTTTTTTCTTTTGTGTATCATTCGTATATATTTCTGTTCCTTTGTATGTCTTGTAATTTTTTGTTGGAGATTAGACATTTTATATAATATATTGTAGGAATTCTGGGTACTTGATCCTCCTCCCTTTAGGGCTTTTTTTTTTTTTTTTTTTTTTTTTTTTGCCACAGGGTCTTGCTAAGCCCAGGCTAGTCTCAAACTCCTAGACTCAAGCGATCTCCCTGCCTCAACCTGCCGAGCAGCTGAGATTATTCACTGTGCCTGGCTGGAATATAGCCTTTTGACCCCATGTCATTACCCACACTCTTCACTCTTCGTGGAATGTATTTCCCTAGCCTGTCTGCCCTAAAAATTCCAATTTCTCCTTTAAGCCTTGGCTCAAATGCTATCCACACTCTGCTGCCTCCCCCAAGACCCCTAGTGATACACAGGGTCCTCTTCTGCTCTTCCTGATGTTCTTCTTTGTCAGAGCAATAGAACAGCAGTAGCATTTCACAACATTTGGTAGCAAACCCTTTGTCCAAATGCAGTCATATATGGGACTGAAATACAAGAACTCTAGCTTGGAGAATTTATAACATCAACTTTAAAAAATACAAATCAATGCTGCCTGGTAAAAGAGGTTATCTGGACAAAAAAAAGTTTTGAAATGTAGGGCTAGAGAACATATGTTCTTAGAATAGATACAATATCCAAATTAATTCACTCAGATTAGTGGTAGTAAATAATAACATTTTTTTTTCCTTTTTTTCCAGAGTCTTACTCTGTCACCCAGGCTGGAGTGCAGCGGTACAATCTCGGCTCACTGCAACCACTTCTTCCTGGGTTCAAGCAATTCTCATGCCTCAACCTCCTGAATAGCTGGGACTACAGGTGTGTACCACCATGCCTGGCTAATTTTTGTTTTTTTGAGTTTTGCTCTGTCACCCAGGCTGGAGTGCCATCTTGGCTCACTGCAGCCTCTGCCTCCTAGGTTCAAGCAATTCTTCTGCCTCAGCCTCCTGAGTAGCTGGGATTACAGGCACGCATCACCACACCTGGCTAATTTTTGTATTTTTAGTAGAGACGGGGTTTTGCCATGTTGGCCAGGCTGGTCTCGAACTTCTGACCTCAAGTAATCAGCCCGCCTCAGCCTCCCGAAGTGCTGGGATTACAGGCATGAGTCACTGCACCTTTTTTTCTTTTTTTTTTTTTTTCAGTAGAGACAGGGTTTCACCATGTTGGCTAGGCTGATCTCGAACTCCCGGCCTCAAGTGATCTGTCCACCTTGGCCTCCCAAAGTGCTGGGATGAATTACAGGTGTGATCCACTGTGCCAGGCTAAAAATAACAATTTTTTTTTCCATCTGCCTTACAATCTCAAGATTTGCTTTAATTCAGAAGGAAAGTTTTTTTTTTTTTTTTTTTTTTTTTTTTTTGAGACGGAGTCTCGCTCTGTCCCCCGGGCTGGAGTGTAGTGGCGCGATCTCGGCTCACTGCAAGCTCTGCCTCCCGGTTGACGCCATTCTCCTGCCTCAGCCTCCGGAGTAGCTGGGACCACAGGCGCCGCCACCTCGCCCAGCTAGTTTTTTGTATTTTTAGTAGAGACAGGGTTTCACCGTGTTAGCCAGGATGGTCTCGATCTCCTGACTTCGTGATCCGCCCGCCTCGGCCTCCCAAAGTGCTGGGATTACAGGCATGAGCCACCGCGCCCAGCCAGAAGGAAAGTTTTATCCTATGCTTTCAAAATTCTAAATTAGTTAAATTTAACACAAAGTTAGTGTCAGTGAATGTTTAATGATGCAAAGCATGAAAGACCAGGTAAAGTTACTGGCTCTAAATTATGAATCCTGGCTTCTTTCAGCCATAATATGATTGAGGCAACTACAGGAAGACTGAAATAGCTATTCCGGGTTCAAGGAGAGTGGGGAATAGGTTCTCACAGTCCTTAGTTCTGAGGCTGAGGGTACAGAATTGCTTGGCAGCAGGGACCATGAGTCTAAAAGGACCTTTGTGTCAAGTAACATACAGAGATTGCTCTGTCCCACCACTTCCTCTCTGTCCCCAAAGGACTTCTGAAGTGGTTTTCAATAAGGATTGCCTGAAGGAAGACATTTCCCATGCATATGTCCAGACACATCCGGGAGGAGGTTCACATCAGCCATAAATGCCAGGAAGGCAAATCTTAGCTGTCTTGTTACACAGCCTGCAGTAGCAAGATGCAATAGTTTATATGTAAGCTGACATGGAAGCAGGAGTTGTTTCTGGGTAAACAATGCGGTAATGAAAAACCAAACAAATGCTCATATCTCTGAGCCCAAAATGACACTACTAAAATTTTAGAGAAATTTATCCCTAAAAGATAATTATAAAAGCAAATAATCCATTATCGCAAGCTTTTTCTTTCTTTTTTCTTTTCCCATAAGAGACGGTCTTGCTCTGTGGCACAGAGGCTCTCTGGGTCTCTCTCTCCTGTTCTGTTAAAATGAAGATAATAAAAGGACAAGTCCACATTCCTCTATCCTCATTTCTAAAACCTAAAAAGTTCTGAAAATGTTAAGTGTGCTTTTCTATGTTTGAAACAAACTAATATGGTAGTAAAACCTGAACAGATGAAGCATCTTATAATCTTTATTTAACTGTTAATGTGATTATTTGCATTTTGCTATAGAAACACTGGTGGTTTTAACTCTGGCATGTTGTTAGAGTCTTAAATAATGTATAATGTTCAGCATATTACACTAACTTTTTAGTATTTAAAAAATACTGAATTATGAAACACACATGGCCCTTACGGGTTTTGGATACAGGATTTTGGATCTGTTAGAGGGCAGTGCCACAATCATAGCTTACTGTAATCTAGAACTCCTGGACTCAGTCTTAGCCTCTCAAGTATCTGGGACCACAGGTGTAAGCCACAATGCCCGGCTAATTTTTTTTTTTTTTTTTGTAGAGACAGGGTCTTGCTGTGTTGCCTAGGCTGGTCTTGAACTCCTGGGCTCAAGTGATCCTCCTGCCTTGGTCTCCCAAAGCACTGGGATTATAGGCATTAACCACCACATCCAGCCATATTATTGCAAGTAGTTTTTTTTTTTTTTTTTTTTTTTTGGCTGGTCTTGAATCTCCTGCTCGGGTGATCTCTCCTGCCTTGGTTCCCAAAGCACTGGGACTATAGGTACTAACCAATTACATCCAGCCATATTATTGCGTGTTTTTAGCGTTTTTTTTTTTTTTTTTGAGATGGAGTTTCGCTTGTTGCCCAGGCTGGAATACAATGGCATGATCTCGGCTCACTGAAACCTCTGCCTACTGGTTCAAGCAATTCTTCTGCCTCAGCCTCCCAAGTAGCTGGGATTACAGACATGCGGCTGGCTACTTTTTGTATTTTTAGTAGAGACTGGGTTTCACCATATTGGCCAGGCTGGTCTCGAGTTCCTGACCTCAGGTGATCTGCTTGCCTCAGCCTCCCAAATAGGCCACCATGCCCGGCCCATTGCAAGTTTTTTTTTTTTTTTGAGACGGAGTCTCGCTCTGTCGCCCAGGCTGGAGTGCAGTGGCTGGATCTCGGCTCACTGCAAGCTCTGCCTCCCGGGTTTACGTCATTCTCCTGCCTCAGCTTCCCGAGTAGCTGGGACTACAGGCGCCCGCCACCTCGCCCGGCTAGTTTTTTGTATTTTTTTTAGTAGAGATGGGGTTTCACCGTGTTAGCCAGGATGGTCTCGATCTCCTGACCTCGTGATCCGCCCATCTCGGCCTCCCAAAGTGCTGGGATTACAGGCTTGAGCCACTGTGCCCGGCCCCGGCCTATTGCAAGTTGTAAGGAGTAGTTGTAAAACTAACTCTCCTGCTTTGAAAGATAACATTTTGCAATAATTTGCAATATAGTAGACTCTAACATGGCTTAAAAAGTCAAAGAAGGCTTTCAGAAACACAATTACCAGAAATCTTTCCTCTTTTTCCAGCCAGCGCTGATCTTCTTCCATTTCCTGTTGCTGTCGGATTAGCCGCTCTTCCATCAGGTGGGTTGGCAACACTTGCCCAATCCCTCGCAGGTCCAATGCTGTAGAGTCCTGGAAGAAGGGTTGAAAACAGCATGTCCAGTCTCTTAGGTCTATTCCTATGTTCTTACATTGTTTTATGCGTCTTTCAAGAAAAGATAAGCAAAACAGCAAGTATGGTAGAAACAGGATCTCTCATACTGTGCTTGTGGGAGTAACTTTTCTGCAGGGTGCAATTTAATGTGCATCAAGCATCTTTAACAAGTATACAACCCTTTAGCTCACAGATTCACTTGTAGGGGTCTGTTTTAAAGAAATAACACAAAATATGTGCAAAGAATACATTGTTACTTATAGTAAAAAAGTAGAAACAATCTAGAATAGAAGGCTGAAATATGATACATATTATAGAGTATTAAATATTAAATAAAAGAACATAAGTAGCAGACAACTATAGATGCTCTTTTATTCAAATAAGTAATTTTTTTTTCTTTTTAATGAGATGGGGTCTTGCTATGTTACCCAGGCTGGCATCGAACTCCTAGGCTCAAGTTATCTTACCACCTCAGCCCCTTGAGTAGATGCAACTATGGGTGTGTGTTACTGTACCCAGCTCAAATAAATTTTTAAACTGTAAGAGTAGTTCTTGGTTTTACCAGGAAAATTTAGTAAAAATTAACATGGTCCAAAGAACTGAATGCTCTGTCTTCCTGTTTCTTCGTTGGCCTCATGCATATGCTGATTATATTCCACTGAGGGCTTTGCCTTTCAAATATATGGACTAAAGATTTTAGTATTTCTCCCTGGGTTCTTTTAGTTAAAAAAGTTCATGAAACCAGAAAGCATTTGAGTATGGAGTATCCTGATCTTTGAATTAAGTCATTAAAATATGGCCGGGCATGGTGGCTCAAGCCTGCAATCCCAGCACTTTGGGAGGCTGAGGCAGGTGGATCACTTGAAGTCAGGGGTTCAAGACCAGCCTGGCCAACATGGTGAAACTCTGCCTCTACTAAAAAATACAAAAATGAGCTGGGCGTGGTGGCTTGCGCTTGTAATCCAAGCTGCTCGGGAGGCTGAGGCAGAATTGTTTGAACCTGGGAGGCAGAGGTTGCAGTAAGCTGAGATCGTACCACTGCATTCCAGCCTGGGAGACAGAGTGAGACTCTGTCTTAAAAAAAAAAAAAAAAAGTCATTAAAATCAATAAATCTTAGGATTTAGAAATAAAAGGTGCCTTAGGCCATGCTTTGTTACTTTTTTTTTTTTTTTTTTTTGAGACAGGTTCTTGTTCTGTTGCCCAGGCTGGAGTGCAGTGGCACGATCTCAGCTCACTGCAGTCTCAACTTCCTAGGCTCAAACGATCCTCTCACCTCAGCATCCCGAGTAGCTAGGACTACAGGCATATGACACCATACGTGACTAATTTTCTATTTTTTGTAGAGATAGGGTCTCGTTATGTTGCCCAGACTGGTTTCAAACTCTTGGGCTCAAGCAATCCTACTTCAGCCTCCCAAAAGTGCTGGGATTACAGGTGTAAGCCACCATGCCCAGCTTTGCCATCCTTTATAAGTTAACAAACTGAAGCCCAAGACACCCGATTTACCTCCACATTGGGCTGCCACATTGCTATCTCCTGAGGTCTATGATTCCATGAATCTGTTTGGTCCAAAAGAGATGCCTGACCTGGATAGATGCTGCCAGCCATGGCTGTGATTCCATGTGAACCAGGGTAGCCAGAAACCTGTGAATGAGTAAGGAGGCAAGGTAATGTTCAACTATAACATCTGCACAGTTCTGCTTCATACACAAAGGAAACTAAAATTACAAAGAATATTGTGGTAGGCATAATTATGGCCCCCCAAAGATACCCATGTTCTAATCCCTTGAACATGTGAATATGTTTCCTTACATGGCGAAAGAGACTTTGCAAATGTGGTTGTAAGTCAAGGACCTTGGGATGGGAGGGTATCCAGGATATCTGAGTGAGTCCAATGTAATTACAAGGGTCCTTAAAAGTGCAAGAGGGAAGTGTAACAGGAGGGAGGGACATGGGACCACTGAAGAAGGGTCAGAGAGAGTTAATACTGCTGGCTCTGGGCCGGGCACAGTGGCTCAAGTCTATAATCCCAGCACTTTGGGAGGCCGAGGTGGACGGATCACAAGGTCAGGAGATGAGACCATCCTGGCTAACGCAGTGAACCCCATCTCTACTAAAAAATACAAAAAATTAGCCGGGCGAGGTGGCGGGCGCCTGTAGTCCCAGCTAATCGGGAGGCTGAGGCAGGAGAACGGTGTGAACCAGGGAGGAGGAGCTTGCAGTGAGCCGAGATCGCGCCACTGCACTCCAGCCTGGGTGACAGAGCGAGACTCTTGTCTCAAAAAAACAAAACAACAAAACAAAACAAAACAAAAAAACCCAAAAAACTTCTGGCTTCAGAACACGGAGTAAGGGGACCATGAGCCAAGGCATGTGGGTGGCCTATAGAAGCTGGTAAGGCAAGGAAATGGACTCTCAGCTAAAGTCTCAAGAAAGGACATTTGTTATGGCTGCATTAGAGAGCTAGTGCAAGTATATACTAGAAAATAAGAAATTGTTTCTTTGGAATTTCACATTTACTAAAATAATGAGGGCAGGCCATCCTTGGATGCAAAAGCAACAGGAAGCCACAAAAATGGCTGTGCCACACTCTGCTCTAGAAATCCCCTTTCCTGCCCAACCAACCACTATCCCCTAACAAGAATAACAACAACAAAACACACACATACAAAACCCCTCAACTGTTTGTCCTCTAATGACCTGAGAGCTGATGGTAGGGTAAGTCGTACCTTTAAATTCTAACAATGATGACTAAGGCAGAGAGAAGACATTCGGTTGGACATAGAGAAAAATTTCAAGGCAGAGGGAAAATAAGCCAGGTTTCTTTATATGGTTCCTTCTCTCAATCAAGAGAAAGACAGAGAATAGAATCAGTATTGCTTTCCACACCTCATTAGGCTAGGGCTGCATGATTGGTGTTGTCAGTTAATTTTTTAGTGAGATATAAAGCACAGCCAAAACTGTATTTCCGAATATCAACACATCCTTCAACAAAGGTTTTGTGCATTTATTCGGTCTCTAGGCATTAATTTATACCCAAACTCCATATGGACAATATAAAATTAATGAATTTTCAAGTGAGACATACAGTTAATTCTCACAGTTTATTTGAATGAAAATATCTTAATAATAAAAACTGCTACTAAATGCAAAATGCTCTATCAAGATTTTTGGTGAAAAGGGACATATTATTGCCAGAAAACATTTAGGAATTTTCACAAGGCGGTTTAAAATAGTCTAAGGCAGTTTTCTACATAATAGTAACCATGTAGAAGGATCACTTTAGGCTAAAAATGAAGTAACTTCAGGAAATGTCTCATAGTTGGTCTCATTTACAAGAGAGGAAAATTTAGGCTTGGGAAAGGTTAATCACACATTAGTTCAATGAAAAAAATCAATGTTTTACTTAATTCTCTATTTACTCACTTTTACACGCTGTTCTAAGCCCTTAAAATAGAGATAAGTCCTCACTCTCAGGGGCTTCCACTGCACTGGTGACAGACAGCCACTAACAAACACATATGAGAGTTTCAAATCTTGACAGTGCCACAGACCAGGCCCGCTGGGATACAAAGAGAACTGTCTCTCTGCTAACAGCTTGTCTCATTAAGCAGGTGCTGTCATGTTTTCTCAAAACAATGCTCATATTCAATTCCCACTCAGGGCCAGTTCACTTTCCATACCAGCCAGGCACAGACTCTGGGGCCCATCTGCTTGTTTGCCAGAGCTCAGGGTCTCTCAGCAATCATAGAGGTGGAGTTTCTTTCTTTAGGCCACCTGCGTACTTCCCATTGCTCTGACCCTTGTGCTGGGTCAGGGTTTTGGCTTCTTCACTTATGGAACTGGTAGTAATCTAAACTGACAAAGGGCCCTGTGAGCTCCTTCCATGAGAAAAAAGAGTACTTTATTTGTCTTCATATTCCCAGTGCCTAGAATAGTGCCAGGCAGAGTAGATGAACGTTCAGTGCAACCCTGCTGAACGAACAGACAGGTGCCCGAGAAAAATGATTCACTCCTCTTCTGCCAGGAAGCGGCCATCTCAGAACAGTGTCTCCCAAAACATAGGTCTGACTGAGTCATCTACCTCAGAACCTACTGAGGTTGCTTCCTAACGATAAGCTATTCTTGGGCTCCAGAATTAATACATTAGAATCTGGAGGCTAAAGAGGCTGAAATTTGCTGTTCTAAACTACCACTGACCTATCTTTTCTAATAAGAAAGTGCTTACATTCTCCCTTATTACTGACAGTTAAGTACCAGTAGTTAAGATTTTTTGCCCATTTTGACCCAAGAGGCCTTAGTTTAAACCATGCTTTCAACAACTCTGTGAAGGAGGTAGGAAAGGTTAAGTACCGACACCCTCAATAGGACTCTGACTTCTACAGACATCACAATGAGTTAAAAAAAGATAAGCCCTAAAAAGCACACTCTATATGATCTATTTATATAAAATTCTAAAACAGGCAGAAATCTCTGATACTAGAAGTGAGAAGAGTGGTTGCTCCTGGGGCAGGAGGTGCCTGATGGGAAGGGGCACAAAGGAACTGCCAGGGTCACAGACACGCTCTATATCCTGAAGTGAGGATGGGATGCACTGAGGTATGCATCTGTCGGAACAAAGACCTGTGCATTGTAAGGTATACCTCAGTAAAAGTTAGTAACTTTTTCTCGAAACAAATAAATTGTTTACTTTGTTTCAGGCCCTTTTCATTCAAGGATAATTTTTTCTAATTTGCACAGGGTATCTGTCTATAAATCTAACACTTTTCACACTTGTCCATATGGTATTTCATCTGGGTTGTTAATTTTGAATTTTATTCTTGCCTTCCATAAAAACTGTCCAGTTCAGTACTCCCTCTGCAGAGTGTGTGCCCACTGGCTTCACTTTGCCTTTTACCATAGCAAGTGGATGAAAACGTGCCTAAGAATGGCAGCAGGCCCTGGCCCTGTCCACTTGAAGAAGGCGTGAAAAGCAAACGCCTTCTGTGTGGGGTGTCAAGACAACATCAGTCAATGATTAAGGTAACCACTTTCTCAGCTTTCTATTGGCCAAATCATACTCATAAGTACACAAATAAAAACATGCACAATGTACCTCTCTATCCCAAAAGTGCTAAATAATCAAGTAACACAGTTTATACCTGTAATGACTGGCATACCTGGTAATGATTGGTTTGTACCATGTGCTGTGGGCTGGGATAAAATCCTTCGCTGGACCTCGGACTAGGATAACCCGGTCTGCTGGGCTGTAAAATCAACAGAGCATCATATGAATGAACCATTGGATTTTGACAAACCTGTACTTTATGAATAGAGAAAGACATTTTCCTAATAGAGCTTAGTTGAGAAGAATGATAAAAAGATGCTAAGACATTTCAATGCGGAAAGAACAGTCTTTTCAACAAATGATTCTGTGGCAACTGGACAGCTACCCGTGAAAAACAGAAGTTTGACCTCTTCCTCCCAATACACAAAAAATTAACTCGAAATGGATTACATGTCTAAATGGAAAAGTTAAAAACTCTAAGATTCTTAGAAGAAAACTTAAATCTTGGGCAGGGCACGGTAGCTTACGCCTGTAATCCTAGCACTTTGGGAGGCCAAGGTGGGCAGATTGTTTGAGGTCAGGAGTTGAAAACCAATCAGGCCAGTCTGATGGGAATGTAAAATGTTGTAGTCACTATGGAAGACAGTATGGCTATTCCTGAAAAACTAAATAGAGAACTAGCATATGATCCAGCAATTCTACTTTCAGGTATATGTAACAGAGAAATGAAAGTATATATCCACACAAAAACATGTGCATCAGCTACTCAGGAGGCTGAAGTGGGAGGGTCGCTTGAGCCGAGGAATTAAGAGGCCAGCCTGGGCAACACAGCAAGACTGTATCTTTGAAAAAAACAAATAAGTAAACACAAACATGTACATGAATGTTCTTAACAGTATTATTCACAATAGCTAAAAATGGGGAACAGTCCATGTCCATCAACTGATATAAATGGATAAACAAAATGCTGTATACCTATGAAAGGGATATTATTTGTAGTTAAAGGGAATAAAGTACTGACACATGCTACGACTTAGATGAACTTTCGAAACATTCTAAGTGAAAAAAGTCAGTCACAAAGAACATACGATTTCTTTAATGAAATATCTAGACTAGGAAAGATTAATATAGACAGCAAGTACATAAGTGATTGCCAGCGGTCGGAAGGAGAAGGAAATGGGGGATGACTGCTAATGGGTGCAGGATTTCATTTTGGGTGCAGGATTTCATTTTAGAACATTTCATAAAAATGTTCTAGGCTGGGCGCTATGGCTCACACCTGTAATCCCAGCACTTTGGGAGGCCGAGGTGGGATGATCACTTGAGCCCAGGAGTTTGAGACCAGCCTGGGTAACACAGTAAGACCCCGTCTCTACTAAAAACAGAAGTCCTAAAACTGGTTGTGGTGATGGTTGCACAACTCTGAATATACTAAAAAACATTGAATTGTACAATTTATTTATTTAGAGTCTCACTCTACCATACAGGCTGGAGTGCAGTGTACAATCCCGGCTTACTGCAACCACTGCCTCCCGGGTTTGAGCAATTCTCATGCCCCAGCCTCTCAAGTAGCTGGGATTACAGGCATGCGGCACCTTACCAGGCTATTTACAGTAGAGACAGGGTTTTGCCATGTTGGCCAGGCTGGTCTTGAACTCCTGGCCTTAAGTGATCTGCTTGCCTCAGCCTCCCAAAGTGCTGGGATTACAGGAGTGAGCCACTGTGCCCAGCCGAACTGCACACTTTCAGTGGATAAACCGTATGGTATGTAAATTGTATCTTAATAAGGCTAGTGAAGTATCATTAATAACAAAACGGGATACTGAATATTCTGAGCCCGAGGAAACCAAATGCTCTCTGTCTAGCAGTCCGGGACCTGGAGAGAAGGCACTTGTGTTCTATTGTTTGACTACTTCCTGGTTGTGTTACTGTGGTCAAGTGATGAAACTGACTGGCTTCTAGATCCTCATCCATAAGATGGGGGTGAGCTAGAGGATCTCTAAAGTTACTTCCAGGTCTTAAACTCTCACTTTGTTTCTGGGATAAATGAATTCAAAGCTCATAGTGAAAGAACAATTTAGTCTGAAACAGAAGTCTCGAAGAAGTCAATAAAGTCTTTTAAAACTTGGAGGATTTAACAAGGTGGAAACCCATTACTGTCTAGCCAAATTAAGTCCAGAATAAAATGAAATGGATTTAAGTCCCATCAACCTTAGGAAAGAAAACTCCTTAGTGCCTGTCTCTCTCCCACAGTGCTGGGTGAACACGTGCTTTGCTCTAGTTAGGTCCAGAGTATGTTTTGGTCTCTAAAATCAGTCTCACTTCCCCCTCAGTTTTGCTTATACTGTCCCCTCTGCCTGGAATGTCTCCTCCCTCCATCTGTAGAATACTTCTGATCCTTTCAGTCTTTTAGATGTTACTTTTTTCACAGAATAGCTCCTGATTTTGCCAGTCTAACATAAACATATGTCCTCTGTTCTCCTAAGGAGGCCTTTTTCAAACCCTACCCTGGGTTGCAGGTACTTTGCACTTGCTCTACCCCTGCTATTATGAGCTGCTAAATTCCTGAGGGCGAAAAATCCTTCCTTTTCGCTTAGCCCTGTCATGTTTCAAGCAGTGTTCCAGATAGAGTCTACTCTAAACTTAACTAAATAACAACATGAATTCCCCCAAAGACACCCCAAACAGGAAAAGGGTATAAAGAGAGCATTCTAGGCTTTTCTCTACTCTGTGTGCTATGGTGGCAATTTCCAAAGGGTGTTCTACGACATGGTTGTGTTGAATTAAAAGAGGCAAAAAAAAAAAAAAAAAAAAAAAAAAAAGAGTTCGGCTACCTTTGTACTTGCTTTAAAGATATGTGTTAATATACAAGCATTAATAATGGTTGCAGGGGAAAGGGTTTCCTGAATCAAATGCTCTTGGAGTCCAAGAATGGAATGAGGCAGAGCCGGGGACTGGAACAATAAACAGAGCTGACAGCTGCACAGTGATGCACTCTTGATAAATTCAGGCAAAAAAAAAAAAAAAAAAAAAAAAAAGTGCAATTCACTGTGTATTCTGTGTGTACTGAACTACCTACTTTACATACAATTTGATAATCTTGATCACGACATTGCTATGAAGCAATATTATAACCCCTATTTTACAGAGTCTCAGATAAATTGGGCAATCTAAATAGGGGCATATAGGTGGTAATGGTAGAACTGCGTGACTCCAAAATCTGCTGTGCCATGATGCTATTCTATGATAAGCGTACTTCTGACTCACCAAATAAAAAGGAATATACAAAATAAATAGATCAGAGAATGGCAAAACCAATGTAAACTATCTCACAGTGATGCAAAGACTTAACTGGGTAGCAAATGATAACACAAGGTTCCTTTTCAAAATAAAAATAAAAGGTAAAAAGTTGAAAATATGTTTTATGATAGACAAAATATTTGCACAAAGGACACCACAAAATCAAATGTTGCTAACCAATAGCCATGGAGAGCACAACTGTATTGGTGAAACAGCTCTACTTCTGTTCTCTACAAATTGGAGGTTAGCATGGTAGTCAAGAGGGCAGGCTTTGAGCCAGACTGTCAGTGTTCACAGTAGGGTGCTTCAGCTCTCTATGCCTCCCTACTGTCAATGACAAAAGGAGTACAATAACCAGCTCCCGTGGTGGTCGGATTATCTGAGGTCAGGAGTTTGAGACCAGCCTGGTCAACATGGTGAAACCTTGTCTTTACTAAAAATACAAAAACATTAGCCAGGTGTTGTGGCGCACGCCTGTAATCCCAGCTACTTGGGAGGCTGAGGCGTGAGAATAGCTTGAACCCCGGAGGCAGAGGTTGCAGTGAGCCAAGATCGCACCATGGCACTCCAGCCTGGAGAGTGAGACTCTCCGTCTCAAAAAACAGAACAAACCAACAACAACAACAAAAATAAGTATACTGGAAGAGGTATGTAGGTTATATGCAATACTGTGCTATCTTATATAAGGAATTTATGCATCTGTGGATTTTAATCTCCATCCCTTGCAGATATCAAGGGAGAACTGTATTAGTGAGGGTGCTTTCCATGATCGCACAATTGGCATTAAGGTAGAGGTCAGCAGGTGAGATTTCTGGCAGTGAGGGGACAGGCCTGAACAACAGGATTTGTTTCATATCCCACAGGATTTCTTTTTCTGTTTTGAGATAGTCATGCTCTGTTGCCTAGGCTGGAGAGCAGTGGCATGATCTCGGCTCACTGCAACCTCTGCCTCCTGAGTTTGAGTGATTCTCATGCCTCAGATTCCCAAGTAGCTGGGATTACATGCATGCGCAATCACACCCAGCTAATTTTTGTATTTTTATTTTTTGAGATGGAGTCTCATTCTGTCACCCAGGCTACAGTGCAGTGGTGTGATCTCGGCTCGCTGCAACTTCTGCCTCCTGAGTTTAAGCAATTCTCGTGCCTCAGCCTCCTGAATAGCTGGGATTACATGTGCACACCACCACGTCTGGATAATTTCTGTATTTTTAGTAGAGATGGTGTTTCGCCATGTTGCCCAGGCTGGTCTCAAATTACTGGCCTCAAGTGATCAGCTCATCTTGGCTGCCCAAAGTGCTGGGGTTACAGGCATGAGCCACCATGCCTGGTCCCCGCAGGACTTTCTGCTGTTTCTCTCAACTTTATGTAAAACAACAGCAACAATAAAATCCCTGTCGCCCTTGAACACAGAATGAATTCTGCTTTATATATTTTGTATAGTTTGCATATTCTGTATAGTTTATGAGGAACTGAACTTTCCAGAACAGCAACTACCGTGTATACTGATGGGCAATTTTATTATGTTTCATTTAAAATTTACCAAGATTTTCTTACCATTCTAGAAAATGACATCTCCAAGACTAATGAAATTCCTATCAGTTATAGCTGTGGGGGTCTGCTCTGTCACTGCTGTATTCATGGTGAGTCCACAAACAGGTGTAAGGATCTGGCTATGCCACCATGTCTCCCAATGTCATTCGACCTGACTGCTTTATACATGCATGCATAACGTTATAAAAAATGACTTTCCTTTTATTTCTCCTGTATAGTTGGGTCTCCAAACACTAGTATTCTTCCACTGATATTCTGAAATTGGTAAGTCATTCTATTACCTATGTATTTTATTTCAGGATTAGTAAACGGGACATTATAAAATCATTTTTTATATAAATGCTGTGC